GTTTTTCTCCACCATCATCAGTTTGTATGTATGGTTGTTTCTACCTTCACACTTGGCAAGCCATTGACAATTAAGTTGAAATACAGTCAGGAAAATACACACAATGAGTAGATTTAATAAGTGCAGTTTTCCGAAAATTGCTTTAAGAGAGACTGATGTTTTTTACCCACCTTAGGAGAGCTGCAAAATGCCGAATTTTCTTAGTTTTTTTTAGACTAATTCTTCTAATTTCTTTACAAAGTTCGCCTAAAACGCTCGAAAATATTGAAGCCTTTCGGCGAAAAAGCCAGTTGAATGTAATGTTTTATAGTAAACCATCCCGTATATAAAGGCTTTCAATTGGCCAGATTGCTTATGACTGCGGCACTAATTTTTTCACCAACATAATTTGTTGTTTGTTGTAACACGAATATTCAAATTATAAAATAAAATTATTATTGCCATCATGCGTTAAACAATTTATGAAGTTATCACTTCTGTCGAGCGTCCCGTGGCGCACACCATTTTTTTTTTTGGTTGATGCACTAATATTTTGTTCACAATTTTGTGCTTTTTGTAAAATCTGGTAGCATTCATAATTTTTGCAAAAAAAAAAATCTGTTTCCTTGCCACTTAACAATGTTAGACATTAACTGCAAAAATCGTAATACAAATTATACACAAATTCGTTTTGATTGGCCTTTTCTAATGAAGAAGCGACCGACATGGTCAAAGTATTAGGGTTTTGCTAAGACAATTTGCAGTTAATGTCTAACATTGTCAAGTGGCAAGAAAACAGACATATTTTTTTTTCGCAAAAACTATGAATGGTACAAGGTTTTACAAAGAGCACAAAATTGTGATCAAAATATTAGTGCATCAACCACAAAAAAAATTAATTTATTTGATCCGCCAAATCAAAAGTTCTGGGTATTTTTGTACGACGACACTCAAGGATTCACCACTTGCCCAAAACGGCTGAACTCGATTGTTTCATTAAAATATGAGTTTCACTAAAATACATCGTACCATTCTACGGATATTTCAAAAAAGATAACTTTTTTGAAGAACTTTGACCATCAATAGCGGGGGAGCCAGACATTTTTTGTTAACAAAAGTTAGGTCAGATCGTGTTCTTTTGGTCCAAAGAATATCGCAGTACCATTTGATCATGAGCTCACTGGAGAAGCTGTATATTGCAGCAGGAGTTTTTCCTCAAACGAGGCTTTTTCATATTTTCTCTTGCGGAAGCTTGAGCAGTCCGAAGTCGGATGCAAAAGCCGCCTAAACTTTTAAGACAACAGTGTTAAAGAAATGACAACTTTTGTTAGAAATCACTTAGAAGAGCTGATTTTTTCTAGTTATATTTGATGGTGAGACGATCGATGGAGCGCCGCCACTATGGTGTGCTGCAGCCGCTGGACACATGGAAATAGTTAAATTATTGATCAGTCATGGAGCTGAGGTGAATACCATAACTAGAACGAATTCGACTCCATTGAGGGCCGCCTGCTTCGATGGGCATCTAGAAATAGTCAAATATTTAGTGCAACACGGTGCAGATATTGAGGTAAAGTGGCGGAATCGATGCGAAAAGACAAACAGTTAATAGTGGAAGTCATTGTGCTGAGCCAGTTTGATTGCCTTGATGTCGAAAGAACCGTTTGGCGCCGGTCATTTTAAAAGTCCCAGTCACCTTGCTAGAGCCATTAGATTGGAAGGAAAAACTGTTGATTAAATGCTAATCGTCAATCCAGTCAATTTCACTGGTTTAATGTCGCACAGGCCATTTAATCTGTTGGGTCTATTGACTGGCAAGCTATTTTTTAACACTCAGTGCAGAATATGTGCATGTTTCATACATGTTCATGTGGTTTCAGGTAGCGAATAAGCATGGGCACACGTGCCTAATGATCGCCTGCTATAAAGGCAATATCAAAATAGTGAGATACTTGTTAAGTCTGAAGGCCAGTATTAACCGGAAAAGCGTAAAGGGAAATACAGCACTACATGACTGCTCAGAAAGTGGCAGTTTAGAAATTTTAAAATTGCTCATCGAACATGGAGCTACGATGGATGTGGATTCCTATGGTGAGTGCAGTGGTGATTATTCGGTTTTTTTTTTTTTATTAAAGCGTGTTCCAATAAGAACGACGGATTTAAATTTTCAATTAAACATATACAGGGTGATTCACAACTTTATGGGCACATAAATAGCCTATCTGGCGTTTTAAAAGTTGCACTAAGACACAGTTTCACCATACAGCATTTGTAATGTTGTTTTTGTGTTGCTTCCATTATGAATAAATCAAATCAATTCCTGGGTTTCAGTCATTTATTGTCTCTATTTATCAATCAAAATACGTTTCGGTGTATTTTTCCACCATCATCAGTTTTTATGTGTA